AATCCTCCCCCGAGCAATCAAAATGACGAAAATGTATTAAAGATCCTTTCATAAAAAAAAGACCATACGCAGAGAAAAGCAAACCCAAACTCTACCTACTGCTAGCATGCCAGTGGACATACAAAAACCCCAAAGAAATACCCAGTGACAAACCACCCCAGTAATCACATGCTGGAATACAGCCTCTGGAAAGACCAAACAGCGCTGCCCACCCTCTGCAACTCCAACCTGCTGCCCCAGCCACGGGGGAACAAGGGGCCCTCACACATCAAGGGAGGAGGGCAAAACGTGAAGTTGTAGAGGGAAGAGTAAAAGGGTAATAATGCATTTAAGATTTCAACAAAAGACTTTAAAATAAATTAAAAAAAAACCAAAAAAAAAACCCAAAACAACCACAAAAAGCACAGTAAACCCAGGCTGGATTACTCCCAGACCTCCCTGCATCCTGCAGCCAATGTTTTCACCCACTAGACAGCTACGAGTGAAAGGTTTTAGACTTCCAAAAAGACAAATGTCACCATCAGCTGCAACTATGGATTTAAAGTCTGGAAAGCTGATTTCCAGAAGTATTTCAACACTGACTCCAAGTAAGCATTCTCTTTCAATGGCAGGGGAACATTCTTGTCTCAGACTCTCACCAAAGTATAAGTAAAACTGAACTGATTCTTGGTCAAATATGTCATAATTAACTCACTCCCACGCCACACGGCAAAAATCTGTTCTGCCTTCAGCAGCTCACATACTACTCAAGAAGAAATTACCTTGGGTATTTTTAAGCATAGCTGCAAGTTACCCAATATTATTAAAGTGGCATCTGTTACAGCAAGATTAAAATGGTTTGAGTTGTTTGGGTTTTTTTAAGAATTATTATCCCAGCACTACTTCAAAGATGTAGGATACACAGCAGCATTTGAATGTACTGCAGTAGAGTTCTTCAAATTATTTTTAAATGGGCCCCTGCCTTAAGTATTCTGCCAATACAGAAGAGCCTCAGTTTGAAACAAACTTTAAAACCACTACTTAGAAACCCAAAAGGAGTGGTTATTTGCTTCATACCCCATAAACTGTAATTTACTATATTAGTAATAGCTAAAACTTTCAGCTTCTGAATTTCTTAAAGTGTATATTGTTCCTTATATTCTTCAAGATTTTGCACTTGAAATATGCAAGTTACCAGAAAGGATTTGGACAATTTGAAACATAAATTTTGCTTTACAGCTGTTGTTGCTTTCCTTCCTCTCAGCTTTCCAAAGTAGACACAGCACTCTCACCCAGTCTAGCACAGGAGAGATTAAAAAGGTGAGGAACAATTATGTTATAATCCTGCACTTTATAGAACATCTTAAATGATATCATAGCATAGTGTTAGAATACCAGGTAAGTATCACAGAGTAGCAGGTAAGATTGAAGAGTGGGTGTAAAATAGCTGAGCTGCTATTAAGCTGAACATTACATTTACTCTAAACAGCTGGTTTTTGAGGCCAGGGTATCTTTGCAGGTATAATATTTCTAATTAAGACTGAAGAAACTTGTATTATACAGGACTCATTATGCATTTTATTACTGCCCATTCTCATTATCCTGCTTAGTTTCTACAAGGTCCAATAACAAGGTATACATTAGCTAAGCCCTGTTTGAAGTAGCTTTAGTGTTCTGTACTCCTAGCACAAAATGTCATGACTCAGATTCGTGTAATCAAAACTGCAAACCACTTGCTTCAATATTGTGTAACAATTTCATGATGAAATTGTTTTGCTAATGACCTCCTTAAACTGCAAGCATTGAAAATCAGTATCTTATATTCTTATTATCATTATCAACATAAAACCTGAGCTCAGCTTTGCCTAAACCCCTAAAAAAAGTTTAGTAACAAGTCAAGACTGGTTACCATTCCAAGCTTGTGCTCTCCCTCTCCTCCATACAGGTCATGAATGGAGAAGGGAAAAACAAAAAGTTTGATTCACATCAGTGAACCTGAACCAAAAGTAGTTTGGAAATTACAATGAGGGAGCAGTGATGCATTGGAAATCACTCCACCACCCTTGGCAGTTTGGAGAACACAGCTGAGTCACAGAACACAATATGCCATTTAAGCAAACAAAAACAAAAAGCAAACAATCCAAAGCTGGGAAGTGTTTTCGTTCCAATAAAGCTGTGGTTCCAGGAGAAGAGATGAAGTTCTCTACCTGACAGAATTTAATACAGATGGGATAGCTTCTTTCTAGGAAGTTAAAGGTAAATACATCTGCTAAATATTTTCCTTAAGAATGGATTTAGCCACAGAGCACTTTTTTCAGGCAGAGAGACTGAAAAAGTGTGATGCAGTAGAAAGACAGCACGCAGTTCTGCTAAGTCTCCAAAAGTATTAAAAATATAAATTACCTAAAGGCACACTACACCTTTTCAGGAGACAAGAGGTTTAAGACTGAAGCTTTATTTTCACTACTTATTGGAATGTGAAAATGTTTTTCTGGATTACAGAAAACTTTTTGAATATTGAAATAAAAGCTTTATTACCATAGAAACCAATAAGCTGTTTAAAGAATACAGACTTCTAAAATTGTGCTTGCTATAGCTCAGAGACACGATTTCACATGTGAAAATAAACAGCTATCCTTATATAATCAAGAGTTTTAAGTCATTCCTGAGAAACAGATATACACCACCAATTTACAGTCTGGCAAGCTGCTTTTAGCCTGGACTATTCCAAAATCTGTTCACCCCTTCATGAGCCCCTACAAGTGGTAAGTGTCCACACCCCACCTACCCTCCTACTATATACCAGAAATATTTTACACTGCCTTCATAGAAGACTATTAGGCCTCGTGCAATTTTGTGTTTCTCATCAGGACTGTAAAGATGCTTGATTTCCTGGCAAAGCCCATGATTTTTGCACAGAGCTGTTTCTGCCTCCTTTTAATGCATTTCATTTCCAGAAAACTTCAATTCCTAACAAAAGCCAGCAGTTGTTATGCCTCTTGCTCCTCTGCAACTTGTAATAGAGAAGGGAAAAACTCCAAGCAGGGGGCTGTAGATACTTTGCCACATCAACAGTAAGCAAAAGGCTTATCATAAACACAATTTCTAAACACAGTATCTCTTGTAAACTATTTTTCAATGTAGTATTTACAAAATAGCTGAAAGGAAAACATATTTGTTATTTTTTTCATCCTAATTATGCAAAAAAAAAGCATTTTATAACAAATTTTAATCATAGGGAATTTTAATCAAGGGGAATTCTAAAATTAATTAAAATTAAAGGGGAAGTTTAAAATTCTGCTGGTTTTGGAGGTGCTTAAAAAAAAAAACCACGAAAAAACAAACACAAATTAGCTGCAGCAATCAGTGTGCCTCTGACTGCAGATTTAGCAGACAAATCTTTGAAGTGCTGAAAGACTGAATTTGGAAGAAAGCACTTCTTGGACTGGCAACTTTCAACGTCTTCTAAATTTGATTCCAACCAACAAAACAAAGCAGAGGAAAAAAAACCACTAAGGCAAACCACACATTTCTGAGCAGCCCCAAGCAGTGCTGCCAGACTGAATGGCATGCGAGCTGAGTCAGGCTTATACTTTCCACTAGTAAAAGCTACACAATTTTAAGGTCCTGCAATACCTTTTACCTTTAGAAACTTAGTTTTAAAGCAAAACTAGATAAAAATAACTTGCCAGTGTTGAGACTGTAATTAAAAATATTAAAAATATAAAAGTCAGCAGCAGCCTGCCCCCTTACTGCTTTATCTGTGGACAGAGTAGACAAGTATCAATGTCCAACCATGATTAAATATTTCCTCTTAGTATCCAACAATGTACATTTGCAAAGAGAGGAAAACATCATTTCTAACAAAAATGGTTTTCTACCAGAGAGTGAATTACTGTAAGGAGTTCAGTGGGTCACTGGCACCAAAGCAATGATTATTCTTCCAGAGCTCCAGCACAGCGCACACACACACTGCTCAGCCGGCGGACATGCACTGACACCACTAATTACTGGCTTTGCTCCCACCATGAGAGCTCATGGTATGAACAGCAGTGTCCCTCCTCTTCCCCATACTCTTTCTCCCCACCTGCAACACCTTTTTTTTATGCACACTTCAAACTGCATCACCTTACTGCTGGGTCAGACCACTGACAACTTGAAAGGCAGCAGCCTCCCCCACCACGTTACAGACCTGGAAGACACTGCTCAGAGCCTGCTCCTCCTCAAGCACAGGCATTCCTCACCTGCTACACAAAAGGCAGGTCCCAGGGAAAGCTGACAGCTCAGCTGAGCCCTAGGTGGTGAATGTGAAGGCCATGAGCTGCCTGAGCCCCCTTCCACACTGGTCAATCAAGTCCTCAGGCTTCTCCAGAGGACACAAAGATGCTATGGAGACCAAAGCTCAAAAGCAGCCACCAAACCTTCAAGGGGGAAAAACTGAGTTCTGTTTACGTAAGATTCAGCTAAATAAATCTGAGCAGATTTACACATTAAGAAAACACTATAATATGTCTTTCAACTACATTAAGAAGAAACAAGAAATGTATTTAAGCCTCAAATTCTGAGGTCTAAACCAAATTTAGCCATTTTGGACTTTTAAATAACAAGAATTTCAGTTCAGGAAAAAAAATGAAGAGTCATCTAGTTCTAAGAAGGAAAAAATAGCAAAACAGAAGTGAAGGAAAGAACTACCGTAACATCAGGACAAGAATTCACAACATGAAATGCCATTAATGCTTATGTTAGCAAAATTAATTAAAGAAAAAAAAAAAGGCAAACGACAGTTTGATAACACCTCTGACTGCCTAGAAGAGGCACATAAATGCTTTAGGCCGAGGACCACATCCCCTTTCACTGCTGTTCAGCAGTTCAGATGCTGCACTACAACAAAACTGGTTGTACTAGAATAACACAGGACATTATAAAAAACATTTACCCCACTCTGAAGACAGCACTAAGCAGACAATCTAATTCCTATGGTTAAGCAAGCATGAAAGGGAAGTGCTTTTAAAGTTACAAACCTTTTCTCGCGTTACACTTCAGCCCATCTGATCTGCTGAAATCTATGCTTACATAAGCTCCACTGTCCAAACCTGAAGTACCATTTTGGAGATGGCAAGCTGGCGCTGTAGTACTCGCCTCACAGCTTAGAGGGTCATCACGTAAATTCAGAGCAATGTAGTTTAAGCCATTCTGAAATCCAGTTGAGGTATCCCTGGACATTTTGTTTTCCTGACCATCAGAAATGTTTTCATCTGGTTTCAACCAAACGTTGTCAAATGAGGCAGAGCTGTGTCTTTTGCTACTGTCAGTAAAGAAAGAGGATGAGGTCGTCACAGTCCCAGCAGAAGAGAACGTCTCAGAACTGTGTCTCCTCCTGCCTTGAGGGTCAGCTCGAATCACTTTCGGTCCTATAGGAGGGTCAGAGCTAGGGACAGAGAAGCTACTGCTACCAGCATATCGATCAACAATGCAGAGTCTATTAACGATGGAAGAAGGACTATCCATCTTCACAGCACTGTCAGATTCAGTGGCAAATGGCCTTGGTGGTGTTGCTGCCATGTTGAACGTCATCTCAGTGTAGTCATCAGTCCTGTTACTTGCCGTGCTAACACATGCAGCACCAAACGAGAGCCTGGCATAGTCAGGGTTTGGTTGGTTTCTAGGAATACTGGAACTTGCATAAATTGAAATATCTGTTAGAGAGTTTGACAGTTCCTTGGCTGCTTTTGGTGACTGCACATCCAAGTCAACACTCATGTAATCAGAGAGCGGTGACTGTCTGTGGTCACTGCTTGAGCCTAGAGATGATGGAGATCCTTCTGCAGATAAGGAATAGGGCGTATTACTCGCCTTTTCATTAAAATCAATGTTGATGTATTCACCAGGACTCGCTGGCTCAGGCGGAACTGTACGATCATACATTCTGGGGATGGTATTGCTCCCTCTCGTACCTAGGGGCAGCCGTGTGGGCCTGGCAGCCCTGCTCTGCACAAGTCCTTCATCCGAACCCTTCAACGTCGGCAATTTAGAGATGCCGTTAGCCAGAGTCTCACTGCTGACCCCCTTCACATTTTCTGGTGCACCATACAAGAGTTTTCCAGGTGAAGACATTGGAACATATTCACTGTGGTCACCATTTTGTCCTGATAATGCCTTAAAGCTTCGGGGCAAAGAAAAATATGAACTAAAACCTTTGGAAACAGAAGTGGTATGAATATAATTTGAATCACTGGGGTGCTTTGGAACTGAATTGCCAGGTGACATATCCATATACTCGTTGTTTACGATCTTCTCATTACTTCCTTTAGAGGCAAATCCAGTTAAAGGACTCCGTACAGGTGAAGAGCTGCCCTTTGGAAACATCATCATATAGCCTCGGGAGTCAACCTGAGATGGTGACCATGAATTGTTAATCTGTTTTGGAACAGACATGCTTTTAGGAGTCATTGGCAAATAATCGCTGGTGCTGGATAGAGAAGATGCAACTCCTGGCATCATTGGCATGTACCCATCATCCCTGGCTTTACTCCTGCTTTGGTTACACGTGGAATCAAGGTTAGTGTCACTGTACTCCAATTCATTGTTATCTTTCAGTTTTGGTGTTTCAGAGTAAAGTAATCGTCCATGATTTCCTGCAGAATCTTCATCCAACAAAGCTGTAGTTTGCGTTGTCTTCTGCTGCACTGCCACAGAAGCTGGCTTTGTCAGAGAGTAAGCTCTTTTCCTGAAGCATTTTTCAGCCTCCATATAATCATCTCTTGAGCCATCATCTCCCTGTTGCTTATTCATGGACATGTACTCACTCAGACAGTTCTCCTCTCTGATTGGTGGTGTGTTTCCCAGGGAATCTGGTGTATTACTCCTCACCCTAAAGTACCTGAAATCGCCAGGGCTGGAGCCATACTCATCAGAAGAGATGAATCCCCCATCACTTGGGGAACCACAAACAGAAGAGCTAGAAGGCCTGGTCAGCATGTCCGAAGCAGAACCATGGCCACTGCTGGAAGAAACACTGATGGGACTTGTGGTGGAGGGAAAATGAGAAACAGGCAGCGAAGCAGACCTGGTGTGGTAAGATGAGCTGAAAGCAGCTCTCACGTACCTTCCACTCCCTTCTTGCCGGCCCAAATTCATCCTTGCAGTATTCAGGTGTATCAGACTCCCAGTCACTGACCTAAAAGGTCTAGTCATGGTTCCTTCTCCTTCACTGGACGTTCTGAAGCGATAGGAGTTGTTGCTTTTGGTGGTAGGAGGAGTGCCTCCAGCAACGCTCTCAGTTCTAGATCTTCTCTGCAAGCCTGTCTGGCTGGGGGGAAGGTTGCCCAAATGCCTTCTGGTGGTGATGAAGGATATGGGATTGGTACCGCTGCCACCACCAGAAGACTGGCTCTTGCTTCGGGGCCTGAACTCTGCAAAGGCCTTTAGAGCTTTCATAGTATCCAGAAAAGTCTCATGCATATTTTGGGCAACAACCGAATCATCCACTTGCATCCAGAGCTCTCCAGGCCCAATGGAGGCAGATCTGCCCACTTCAATGAAGAAGAAATTCTCTGAGTGTCCGCAGCGGCGAATGTTCATAAGCTGCAAGTGAACAGAGGGCACCTCCGAGTTCAGCTTGACAAGGTGGATGGCTTTGCTGGAGAGGCACAACCTATACACTCCAGTGAGGTTTTTTGTTTGTCCCAAGCCTTTGGGCTTCACGTTGACCTGCCACACCTCCTTGAAAACAGTGCCAGGCCTCAGGGTGGCCCCGTAGTGCTCATCATCGTCATCCACCTGCTGATCGGCATGGTCCTCCTGCTCCAGGAAGCCCCTCTTGCTCTGATTCATGAGCTCGCTGATGGCCTGGTACCAGGCCTCCTGCTCGGCGTCGTTCTCGGCCAGCATGGCGAAGTACTCGTCCTTGGTGTACAGGGCGATGATGTGCTTGTGCTTAGCGTCGGCCCGGCGGCTCACGGTGAAGCACTGGTACAGGGGGATGACCCGCTTGGGCGGGGGGCAGCACAGCGCGGCCGCCCCGCCGGCCCCCGCCGCCCGCAGGCTGCTCTTGAACTTCTTCTCGCTGTCATAGTACTCCAGCCGGGCGGGGGCCAGGTGGCTCTCGGCCCGCAGGACGAAGTAACGCTTGTGGCCGTGCTTCTGCTTCCGCAGGTACCCGCATTTCCTCACGTCCTCGCCGGCGCCGCGGCCCGCGGGGGCGGCCTCGGGCGCCGGGCACAGCGAGGCGCTGGGCGAGCGCCGCAGCAGCAGCAGCAGGTGGTGCGGCTGAGGGGACGGGCAGCGCCCGCCCTCGCCCGCCGCCGGCTCCCCCTCGCCCGCCGCCGCGCCGAGCACGCCGGGCTCCTGCTGGGGCGCGGCTCCGCCTCCCGTGTGCCGGGCGCCCGGCTCCTCCTCGCTGCCGCTGCCGCCGCCACCGCCGCCGCCGCCCGGGCCATTCATCCCGCTCGCCATCTTAGGGGCCACGCAGGGTCCGGTGCCGCCAGGGACGGGGCGCAGGGCGGGCAGCGGGAATCCGCGCTCACCGGAGAAGCGCCCCGTGCATGGGAAGCGGGCAGTGCTTCCTGCGCCCCCAGCCCGGTCCGCGCTTCCCCCGGTCGCTCCGGCCACTCGCACTCACGGGCGGCGGCGGCAGCACCGCGGCGAAAACATCACGTGACTCCGCGGAGGGCGGGGCCGCGGCGGGCGGGGCGCCGGGCGCGCGGGGCGAGGGGGCAGCGGCGAGCCGACCGGGCCGCGCGCCAGAGTGGCAGTGGCAGAGCCAATAGGAAACGGCAGTCCTTCGCCAGCGAGCCAATCAGCGGGCGCAGCAGGGAGGAGAGGCGGGCTTCGCTGCGCCCTGTCCGGGGAGGCGGGGCTACAAAGGACGGACAACACGGCGGACCAATGGGAGGCGGCGGCCGCGCCGGGCTGGCCGCGATCTGCAGGGGTGTTTCCTGTGCTGGGGAAAGAGGCGGGGCCGGCCGCGATTGGCAGGAGTGTTGAGCGGTCGGTCCGACAGCCAATCCGCGCCTCACACACACAGACGGGGGCGGCGAGGCGGGGGAGCTGTGTATTCGGCGGCGAGAGTAAGGGGGAAGGCGGGGCATTGAGGAGATGGGCAGGCTGTTTGGCTAATCAGCGCAAAGCCCCGGCTGACGAACACTACCGGCTGACGTTGCGTTCGCCCGGTTCCTTCGGGGCGGGGCCCGCCCCTGGCGCGCGGAGCTGGAGGCGGCTGCCATTGGCCGGCGGGGAGGGCGCGCGGGGGGGGGCGGAGCGCGCGCCGCAGAGGAAGTAAACAACCCGCCAGCGCGCAAGCGGCCCGTGCGAGGGCGGGCGGCGCGAGGGGCTGCGCGTGACACCCCCCCGCCCCGCGCGCGCCATATCTGACCCCGGGGCTCTGCCTGAGACGTTCTCACGGACCCCACACATGTTCTCAGCCTCCAGAGCTCACTCACAGCCGCCACAGACTCTGTCATAGCCCCGACAGCCACTCAAAGCCATCACAGACTCTCTCATAGCTCCCACCACCCCTCAAAGCCCTCACAGATTCTCTCTGCCTCCTCAGCATCCTCACAAGCCCCCACCGCCCCCTCATCCCCCACTTCCTGCGCTGGCGGAGGCAGCGCGGTGTTGGTGACGTGCAGCGGTTGTTTACATTCGATACGCTGCTGTGTCACCCTTGTCTCGGGTTCGGGGTTGCCCGCCGCCAGTCGCGGTGGGGTGACAGTCCGCGGTACTCCCGTGACCGCTGTGCAATCCTTTGCTTGTGGGATCCGAGTAGGCCACTGATACAATTCCTAGGGTTTAGGTCAAAATACGAAGAGTGAAGAGCAAATTCATTCTGTTTCACAGTTAACGGGCATTTCTGTGACATAAAAATCTCTGCTCCCTCTAGATTAATTGCATTGATAAAATACAGCACGGGATGTTATTACACGTACGGCTGCCCCACCATTTCAGAGGCAATGTTGGAGGGCAGGGAGCCAGTCCCGTACCCGCTTCCCCAACACCTTCTTCCTCTGGTAATTAATTTCTGTTTTGCCCGCTGCCTGTGCGCTCACACAGGACAGTGTCCGGGCTGTGGGCAGAGCACGGCAGGTCCGGGACAGCCCGAACCCAAGCCGTGCTCCTGTGCTGTGGTGCGGGGGTGCTTAGACTGCAGGGCAGGGCAGGGTGTTGGCCGCGGATGCTGTTCCTGGTGCCTTCTCGCTCCTAATAAAAGCGTCCCTGCCAAAGGTACGTTTTATTTCAGTTAGGAGTTTGTGTGTACCAGTCATGTCAAGTGTAAAAATAATCCTTTTCCTGTAATACAACAGCAGAGATCGTTTCCCTAGCCAGGAATTTTGACCACACGTCTCTTCACTTTCTGTCTTGATTTGCTTTCAAGTCATTCTTGGACTCCCTCACCTATGATTCATTATGAGATGACATCTCTCAGCAATTCCTGACACCAGCTTCCATCACCCATTTGGTTTGTTTTGGAATAAATAGCTCTATGTTTTCTTTCATTCTCCCTCTCAGGTGCGGAAAAAGATATTTTTTGAAGTCCAGTAACTCAATTTGAAAGCTGACATGCCAAACCTAGTACTTGCCATATTGATTGTTCTGTCTCTTTTTTTTTCATAATTCTCTATTCACTGCCTGCTCACAGTGTTTAAGCTGCACTCTTTTTGGTTTATGTTTTTACATCATCTAACATGGCATATTCCTGTACATGATTAGAGGTCCTAAGTGTTATGGCAATACAGTAAATAGGTTGCAACTACAGAAATTTATTTATTCCCAAAACAAGAATTATTAACACTAGAAAATTGAGATTAAATATAGTTTTTAAAGCCATTCAGACATGTTGGCACAAAAATACCCAACTAAACTCCCCATTAGTTAATGGTGTCATGAATTAACTATACAATTATATTGCATTATATCGTTAATAGCCCTTGGTAGAATTAAACTGGTTTCTGAAGATTAATTCCTTTTATTTTTCATTCTTTTCTACCTGGTCCGTCAGTTGGGTGAGGCTGAGATTTCCATAATTGTTTGGGTTTCATTCTGTACTTTTACATGAAAATTTAAAGTGGTTTTAAATGTATAGAGCAAGGTGAACTTTGTTCATTGCATGCTTATTTGGGCTGGTTGCTGAAGGATATACATGGGAAGAAGAAAGGGAAACTTTTGAAAGAAAGGGCTTGGGTTCTCTTTTTTGTTTATGTTTTTTTTTAGTCATCAACCTCTGCGCTTGCTTGACAGTAATTATGAATAATCTGTACCTGTAAGAAGAAACGTATCACTGTTTTCTGGTCTCTTTTAAAGTCCTTTGCTCTTACATTGCACTTACAGTGCTTTTGCTAGGGAGTTGAGAAAGCAGCCTATGCATAATTAAGTCATGCAGAATTTTGGGGTGGTGGACACATGTGATCAGACCCGCAGGGACCTGCAGAAACAGAATTAATAGAAATGGATTTTTCCACTGGGTTCTCTCTGGCTTAAAAGAAGTGCTTAGCATTCCTGAAAACTTAATTTGTTCATGTTTTCCTATGTGACTACTAGAAAATACTTACTGAAAGTACAAGGTAATCTATAATTTGCATACTCCTCAACTTTCATTAGTAGAAAGAACAACTATTTGTTTTCTCTCCCTTTGAATATATATTGTTTAGAGCCTTTTGTGCAGTTGTGGAATCAAAATTACTGGTTTCCTAGTAGTAATGATTTTTTTATTTTTGTAGCTTGTATAAAACATTTAAGTATACCTGTTAGTGTATGATACCCCTCCATTACTGAAATAATTTTCTGGCTATGGGATTGGATCTAATTTTACTACCTTTTTTTGTCACAAATGATTATAACTTTCACAAACTTTTGTAGGTTTCTTTCTTACTGTTTCTCTGGCTACTCGTCTGGCACATAGCCATAGTTCACTTTGTAAAGTCAGTGCCCCACTTTTTATATAGAATCAGCTTTATATTCTTCAGTTTTGCTTACAGAAACCAACACAACCTGTGTATGAAATGTTTCCTTAGCTGTGGGTGCATTGTCTTTCAGAAACTAAAGAGAAATCAAGATCCCCTCCACGCGTCTCTTGATCTTCACCAGACTTGAAGAACCTGTAGTTCTTAGAGCTGGAGGTATGTTTGCTTTGTGTTTCATGTATTTGCTCTTTCTACCCTACCAACTGTCTGCATGAAGCAAGCACTGTCAAAGGCCAAAAATTTGAAGCCATTTCTTTCATTAGAGTTTCCACAAGTGGCTATAATGTGTGTAACATAAAGCAATTAAACTATTGGTAGTCATATTGTTGACCCAAATGGAGGGCTAAATATGTCATCTGTGGCTGAAGCACTGAGGAACAAGGAATGGGTTCCTGCAGGGATCTCTGAAATTCCACAAGGAGTGATATTATTAATTTAGTTAAGATATAAGAAGTAAATGGTTTTTGGATGGTGTTGCATGATTTATTGCTCATTTATTCTAGTTACAACAGCCTATCTTATGCCCATCCTTAGTTACATCTACAGGAGTAATTACCCAATAAAACCAGAAAGGAAATCAGTTTTGTTGAGTAGTAAAGACAATCCTGCTTTGGTCCTTCTTGTGACATGTTCATAAAAGAAAAGGAACTGGGGAAATTACCTCTTTAGAAATTTAGAATAAAAATATCTCAGAAGTATTTAGCAACCAAAGATGTTAAGTGAAAGGTAAGATTCACAGTTTTTAATTGTATGTGTTACCTTTCCACCAATCATATATTTCTATACATTTGTGCAAAATAAATTAATGTAATTTTTCATAATGTGTATTTATGGTCCAAACTCTTCCCTCATTTTAACTTTACATCTCCAAAGTAGCCTGCTGTCATTAACTTCTTATCAGTTCTGCTCTCACAGTAGGTCATACAGTGATTTTTACAAGAGGCAAAGTTAGCTCACAAAATCAAAGAGAACAGTGGTTTTAAATTACCAGTTAGCATGGGTCATTCTGCAGATGGGGAAGTGTCCCTGTCCACTGTATGTCAGTGGAATAAGAAAATGAAACTATTGTGCCATTTCCTAATCAAGATCCAGAGGACAGTAATACCCTCTGTTTAAGGTACAGATAGGGAGTTCTAAATTGTCACTTCAGTTTGCAGCAGGCTTGCCCTACTTGCTTGGGCAAATCTGTCCCTCTACATTGTTTCAATCCCTTGGTCATTTCTTGGAAATAAGAATTCCTCCCTTTCTCAAAAGAGTGTTTTTAGAGATAAAATCTGTTCATGACAAAGAACCTCACACATTTTGGTATTAAGGGTTATATAAAATTATTGTAAAGCCAGCCTGAGGGCTTCCTTCTTCCCTACAGTTGTGTAGAATCCACTGTCCACTAAGAGTCCTCTACACATGCATTTCCCAGCATAAGCTACATGTGGTCTTATTTCTCTCATCCAGACCTTCCTTGCTGTGTTGAAATAAGATGCTGGAACCTTCACAGCAATTGTGATGATGCTCACTTATGAAAATGTACAGATTTGAATTTAAGATTTTCAGGCACAAAGATTAAAGGCAAACATATTAAAGAGTTCCCAGCTTAAGTTAGAGGGAGCTGTGGGTGCTCAGCACTTCTCTGATAATGAGGATTTGGTTGTTTATTTGTTCCATTATACTCCTTTCACCATCTATCTAATCCTATCACATCATTGTCTACAGAAATACTCAGACGCTTGGTTTCTTTACTGTTTTGTATAATTGGGGATGGTGTCACCACGCAGTGAAAAGAGCCACAGAATGCTGTTTTTCAAAGGCATACACTCACATTTGCACAACGTTTTCTCACTGGATCATGAATGAATAGAAAGATTATTCTGCCTGTTTGTTTTCCTGTTGATGGATAGTTGCTGTTTGGGATATACAAATTTAGGATTATGTTTCATATTATGCAGCTCTGCTAGTGAAAGAAACATAAATGTGCCCTTTTTGCTATACACAGTTTGGCCATATGTCCACGTCATTAAGACAGGGAAACTACTAAAGACTCTTATTCACTTATTTCCCAGATTGTTTTTGAAGACAATCTGAGAGTGGAACAGAAACGAAAGATACCCATTTATATAACTGGAAATGAAAGTGTTATCATTAATATCAGTTTTCAACTATTCATGGTAATGAGCAAACAGTTCTGTTTTTGTAAATCGAAAGCATTTTTTCCCAGACTGAGTGGAAATGAATCTTTCCTGTTACCTCTTTGCAGTACATCCTATCTAACCAAAAAGTGTT